GACATTCACTTATATACAGATAACCCTTTTTACAACATTATGCACCTCCCTTTCTTAGTGGATATTTAATAATCTAGTCTAGAACTATTTCTCACTAAGATTTGCATGTGTGCTGCGTCTCATCATCTATCATTTTCTTTTTGAAAGAGACAAAGTTTCTTTCCTTTGGTAGAGTATGTACCAAAATCTTAGGTTTTCAATAAAATTGACATCATAGTTGTAACAAAAAACACTACAAGAATGGATGTACAACTAACACCAAACATAAATACAAGTTAGACACGTAAAAGAGGGATATCAAAACCTTAAAAAAAACATTGGCTACTTTGCTGGAAAGAATACGTTTTGTTCTTTCAATAAAATCAAAAGGAACCAACCAATATTTTCCTTGCATTCACTTTCAGTCTATCCATTGTTTGATACCTTTCTAACAACGTAATTACCAATTGACAAAGTTAACTTCACATCACTTTCGGACTGATAAGGATGAACCACCTCGCATAGAAAGTAATCTAAGGCATCAGTTGACATATCATATCATCTATCTTTCTATCCGTGGTAAATGCTCAAATTGATAACCTTTAGTTCACTATAAATGCTAATGCGTATGACTCAAATCTTTCAAATATTTAGTTTCCTTCTATTTTGTGGTTCTTTTTATATGTATTTCATTATGATCCGACTTGAAATCATAAAAGTTACAATTAAAAACACAAAGTTTTCCACTAAAAACTCCGTTGACTAGGAAAATCTAATACTCCCTCAATTCTATAAAATAGTCCACATTAAATTTTGAAATTTTTTGAACTTTTTTTTTTTCGGCAGGGAGAGTATTAAATGCCCAAATCATGCATAATATGTGTGTCAGAAATATTTGCAATGATAGATTAATCATGATTAATTTTACTTTCTGTAGTGAGTAAGATTAGTCAATTTATTATCTCTATTCTCTCTACTTTGATTTGTTATGAAAGTATGAACTATGGAATTAAGGATGTATTACAAACTTAATACACTGTGTGGAATAGAGTAAGGATCCTTCTCACTTGATAATGGTGAACGGGAAAAAAAAACAAATAACACTATTCACCAGGGTTGATATAGTACATTTTTCCTTTTACCAAGAATTGGTGAAGTGCAGTTGTTTATTTCTATTGTTCAAATTCAAACAGTTTTATTGAACCTCCCAAATTCTTGGCTAATTTAGTCTGATTCAGGGATTTACTTTTCACCAATTGAACACTAGTCACCATGGTTGATAACCTTCAACTTGAATTTCTAGTTTTTTGTGCTTTGCTTTGATACTCCTAACATAATCAATTTAAGATTGTGTCAGTCACATTCGGCACAATTAGTCTACTATAACTTGGCTTTATATGAATTTTTGGTATGTTGAAACTTAACTCCATTTTGGTTGCTTTTTAGAACGATTAGTCTCCCTTCTTCTGCATTGATTTTGCTCATGTGACAATTTTTCTTTCTTGATCTTCGTACCCAGCAAATTTTTCGTTTGCCCATGTGTTATATATATTGTTGACCGGTCAAACACACTTGGCATTCCGAATTTTCTCCCATCTTGGCTTTAACTTAATAACTTTGTGCTCTTGATACCGAAATAATATCATTCTACTTGACTCCTTTCATCTTGACAAACTTTTTTCATTAACAATTTTGACTTTGATAGATAATCTTCCAATTGATATCAAGCCTTAATATTTTCAATACTTCTCTTGAAAAGTATTTTAATGAACCTATTTAGCTTCTCACTCTTTCCATCATTTCCTTTCTTAACATTATTTCTCTTTTTTGCTTTGCATTTCGACTTGGGCAATAACTATTCTTGTTGATGTCTATTACTTACTTTATCAGTAATAAATTCATAAGTCCTCTCAATGCATGAAAGTCATTGCTCATCTGGACATCCTGTAGCTTACATTCACTTACTCCATCATTCCAAATGAAACTGTTCAATAGAAAAACTTTTGAATTGAACAACCTTTCATCATTATTTGTGTTTCCTCCTTATTCAATAAATGTAGTTGACTTTCTTTATCAATCTTCCACGCACAAATTAATATTGAACACAATCTATCTCATTCTTGATCCATTTTGAGTTACGATTAAGCATATATTGTATTATAATTAAAAGACTCAAAGTAAATATATGGTCTGATACTTATTTTTCATTTCTCATCATAACAGTACAGTTCAATAAGTACTTAAATAATAATGATGTATATGTTAGTAAATTTTATATTATCACAGTACATAAAGCAATCTAAATTTTTTAAAATTGTAATGAGTGCATGTAACTCAATTTCTCTCTGCAACTCCTCTGCTCTCAAACACTAAGGACAATTGAAATTTATATGGTAAAAATAAAAGTCTCACCCCCTAGCTCCTACTCATATAGCCAAATACATTAACTAAAATTTTTGAAATCATGAAAGTTACTTATTTCCTTTTTCAACGTTATTCTCCATATTTTCCTTTCTAGACAAGGAATTTCCGAACAAAAAGAAAACATGTTTCCTCGAAATCAGTTAGAAGTTGGTCATATTGCATGAGAAGTTTAATATTAACTAATTAATTAGTGTTTAAGAAAATATTGGGTGGAGTTGTTGTAGATTGTTTAGCCAGACACAATAAGTAAGGTAAAATAATAATTTTCTAGAGAAAGTCATAATTTCTACGGGAGTTTTAGCCACAAAATAGGGGTGATAATACTTGTTGTTCCAAAAAACAAGGATCCGGATGCGTTCAACGCACTGGAATGGGAATAGAGGAATTGTAATCTCATTTCTAATTAAGAAAAGTCCATCCATTAAAAGAATCTTCAATTCCCATTACAATTTTTAGAAATGTTAAAAAATAGTTACCCATTACGATGTCCTTTTTTGCTCAATATACGATGGGAATGAAAAAAAAAATCAATCAACTCAAAATTTTTATAAGAACTAACATTAAAAAAAAAATCAAAACGAACAACATTTATTTCATTAATCATTTTATACAACAAACATAGCATATTTTAAAATAACGTATCCATGAAATTTGGTTTCTTGATCTAAGAAAAGTCAAAATCAACTCATTACGCAAAATTGAAATATTGAGATATCAAACTTTCAGTATATTCAAATAACTCAAACATAACAAAACCTAAAAACTATTAAAATAGAAAAACTATGTCAAAGTCTAAATTATTTGACCAATCTTCACATTTGTTCTAATGTAGCATCTCACGACTGAAACTAACAAAACAAATTACTAAGTGCTTGTTTGGACAGTGTTTTGTTTTAGTTTTTTATTTGGATTTGAGAGGAGATTTAAAACGTAGTTTAGTTTTTGATTTGGATAGTATTAGAATATAGTAACCATTTATGAAATTAAAATAGTTCAGTAACCATTTATAATTTTTCCCTCACCACCGGATCACCTCCACCACCGGTTGCCACCGCCACCGCCGGACTGCCGCCAGCCGGCGACTGGGCAGCCAGATTCCGGTCAAATTTCGGTGAGTTGGCCAGAAGTTGGTCGGAATCCGGCCAGGTGGCGGCGGCCTGGCGGCGACGATGACAGCCTGGCAGTGGTGGCTAGTGGTGGAGGTGGTTGACAAAAATTATGTAAAATAAATGTTTAAAATATTTTTTTAAAGATAAGTTAAATTGATGTTTAGATAGTATTTTATTTTGCATTGAGATTTGTGTTTAAGAGGTAAAATGAGCCAAAAGACAAATGAAAAGGTTGTCCAAACAAGGCCTTGCTGCCAAAATCAAAACAAAACTAACAAGAAAAAGCAAAACAGTACCGAACCAATGATAATTGAGTGATAATTTCTGCCATAAAAAATCTCAAAATAATATATTAACGGAGAACCATGAAATATTTGGGATAGAAAACATGGCATAAGAATATTGATGATAATAGGTGGGAAGAAATATTCAGTTTTTTTGGTGAAAAATAAAAGATCTTTGCATTTGAATAACTGTCTTAATATAATAATTTTACCACATATTTGTGTAAGAATTTTTTGTTAATCTGTAAGGCATAATGATTTTTTTAAAAAGAAGAAAAATAAGTTGAAAGATTGATGTCTGAGTGGTTTATATAAAGGAGATTATATTGAAAAAAATGGAGACACGTCGAAAATAAAAAAGTGGGAGAGTAGGGTCGATAATTTTTTTTATCGCTGAAAATAGATTTTTAAATATTTTTTTTTTGGTACAAAGAAGGGGGCAACAGTCTATTAGGATAACACCTTCCTTTGGTAAGAAACACCGACGATATCGTGATCTAACCAAAGTTTAACGCCAGCTGTAGGCTCATCTAAATATACAATACCAAGTGGCACAATAGATGTCAAAGAAGCTAAATAATCCGCTGCGAAATTCGTTTTCCTGTACACATGTTATACCTCCACTCCATATTCCCGACCTAGAAGCTCCTTGATACCTCGAACCAGACTGCCATGAGTCCCCATGTAAAAATCCCGGGCATTAACTAACTCCAAAGCACATTAACAGTCAACTTTCGCCTTGACATGGCTCCAACCACGATCCCAAGCCAGCTGCGGCCGCTGAAATAATCCCCACAATTCCGCACCTGTGATAGAACAAAACTAAATTTTATTTAATTATTGATAAAATATGCATAGTAAATATTAAATGTATAAGATTCCTTCAATCCTATTATCCTATAACATCACTAATTTTATTCATTCTTATTTATTTATTTTTACTGAACATCGTAATAGTAGTAGTCGTAACAAGATTACGATACATACATTCATTCCCTTTTCAGTGCGCTGCATGCACCTGGAGTTGCACCCAATATTTGTTTTTGCTTATGTTTACTCCCTAATCTCAGAAAAAATTAGTATACGTTCAATTTTGAGATGCGAGAAAAATTTTGCAATTTACTTTTAAAACATTATGATAATTAACTGAGGCTGCAAGCCCATAAGAGAGCCCAATTAAGAAAACGGACAAGAACCCAAATAATTCCGATTGCACAATATGGGTAAAAATATTTGAACCCCTTTCCGCCACCACCTCCTTTCCTATCCCGGCGATCCTCTCCATCTATTATTTCTTCTTTGGCTCCTTTCCTAGCCGTAGTTCCGTTCCTTCTCCCGGCTCTCTCGCCTGGTAGCGCCGTAATCCTGTCAATCACGAAAGTTGGTGAGTTCTACCTGAACTTCAATTCAATTAATTGCCTGTTATAAAATGCGGTTTAATCGTAAAATGAACTGGACGTGGTTTCTTTTTGAATTTGTTGATTGACTGGAAACGTATATGCTTTACTTCCATATTTAGTAGTTAATTAAAGTTCACTGGAAGTATAAACCATAAATTTATTAACTGCAATATGTTGCATTTCTTCGCTTAAATTTATAAACTTTACTCAATGAAGTGCCAGTTCCACTCGTTAATTTTGAATTTAAACCTGGGTTGTTCTGAGTTTCCGTGTTTATATTAATTAATTCATTTACTGAGCCAGCCTAAGCAGGTTATGCATGGATGATCAGCTCTCTGTATATAGATAATCTTCAATGTATGTCAAATTATCAATAGTTTAAGTTGCTTCTCAGAAAGGAGCTCGCTCATTCGCCATTAACAGAATTACAGAAAGGTCGCATTGTGAAGATTATAGGTAACTTAAAATCATTAATTTATATAGGTAGTTGATCCAAGTTCTGTTGTCCTTTTATGTCGATATGAAATTCGTGTTGTATCTTGTTGTGTTTCATTTGTTTGCCCTTGATTTTTTTTTCTCCCAAGGTTTGTCTTCTGTTTCCTTTTTCAAATTAATTTGATTCTTGTATTGGCGAGTGTAATTAATGGCGTGGGGTTTCTTATATTTATTGGGTTTTCAGTTTTTAATCTTGTCATTTGTATTTAGCTTTCTGATTTCACTGGTTTCCTTTTCAAATAGAGATTAAGCGTAACTAGTTTTTCTCATACTTTTGTTTAATACAATATGTTCGTGTAGATGTATGTTTGTGTGTGTATATAATGATTAATGCAAGGGACAACCTTTACATTTAATCACAAAGTAAATTGGAAATGGAAATAAACCCCAGAGCAGTCTCTAATAGTTTCTCGTACTCTTTTAACATGTTTCAGGGGCTGTGACTTCTCTGTTTATTCAGTAGTGTTTTACAGAATGTTTAGCAAACATGGGCAGTATCAACCCCTACAGTAGTTCAGCTCCCTCTCACTATTGACGGCGGAGGCAGCTCTGTCATTCCAGGAAGGCATAAATTTACTTATTTTTCAATGGACAGCCCTTCAAATGGCAGTTTTATATGAGTGAGCTGAACCAGATTCTCGTCACGAATACCAGGAACTCACCCTCCATCTCTTTAGAGGATTTACTCAGTCCAAAGGTAAATCTTTTCGTAGTTGCTTCTATAACATAGATTTGTGCCGGTACCTTTGTATTTGGGATTTGGAGCCTTTTGCCTTCTTTTCATCTGGGCTGATCTGAAACCTCTTTTCTTTTGTAGGTTCTCCTGCTTTTCTTCGGGAAGATTTGGGTTTCAATGTAGACATCGATGAAGTGGATGATTTTCTTGAGGAGTTAAGTAAGGAATTTGTGACTTAGATTGCTGACTGAAGATTAGAGGAGGTACACCTATCTATAATTTTTTTTTTTATTGGCTTCTTTAACTTTGAGTTTAAGCAGAGATTGAAATGGTGGTTTTTCTCCCTTATGTTGTACATCATGAAAGCGCGATCTTTAAATTTTACGCGTCATTCGAGAATAAGTTGTCTTCATATATCATATTCTAGCCTTCCTCTTGCCATAATTCTTTCTCACTGCATTTGTCATCTTATGAGATATTGGTGATGAACATGATGACTTGCTCCTGTTTTAGAACAGGAAACAGAAAGCTGTGCTCTAGTAATCTTAAAACTTACTAGAATTTTACAAGTGAATCTTGAAAAAATGGAAGAGAAGTGCTTAAAATTCATCGAAGTCTGAGTTCACATTGTCTGAAGCCAATTTATTAATCATCCTTGTTCATGGACCATTTCATGGTTCAATATGAATATATACAAATTGCAAAGAAATCATGCTTTTGTGGACAATGCACTGGCTAACGTGGCAATTTTGATTGATCAAAGAGATTGGCGTTACGAGATTTTTGTGGACACACTTCGACAATCACATTACCACAAAACATAAGAACATTATTCATACATGTGAAGAGGTGTATATAGTCCAGATCTGGACCTGAATTATGTTAAGATCCCAAATATGGGATGGGGATGGTTGAGTGTTTAAAGCATCTTTCAATATGGTTTGAATATTTTTCTTTCATTTTGTTGCTCCTCTGTGTACAAAAAATTGGTCTGACAGGATGCTGGCTAATAATTAAGGCTTATGTTAGCTACTCTGAAGGAGTAATCAGGAAAGTATTAAGAGATTAGTAAGACATTATAATACCCTATCAATTTCTGAAGTTCGTTTATGGTTCCATGGGATGCAAAAATAATACAATGCTTTAATCGAACTTTATGTCTGTTTTAATTCATTTGGCTGCTATGCATTTCAGTTCAATTGCTACATTCCATTGGGTGCCTCTTGGTCTCCAGGTTTCATAAGTTGGAACTATGAATGCGGCCAATGCAATTAGATAGATTACACTCCTTTTAGGTGCGCTTACAGGTTTCTTAGTGTTTTAGCAATGGAATAGAACAAAAAAATGGTTTTGGGTTCGTTCCTTAAATTTGATTTCTTTAGCTATTTTGGATCACCTGTGTACTTGCGCACGGATGTGTCTGTGTTTATGTCCAGACTAGTAATATACAGCATAGCCAAATGGTGAACGTGCTTTACAGAACATCTGACATCTTGTGCAATCATTAGAGTAGCAGGAATTCAAAATGTTCGTGTTAGTTATCTTTCACTAGGCAGCAAGGTCGTTCTTCCATTTGTTGAACTTAATATTAGTGCTGTATCGAAGTTTCTATCTTAATGTCAATTGATTATGCTTCTCTGTTTCAATTTCTCTTTGACAGCAAAACTGGATAAAGGTTTTATATGTGAAATAGATCTGTTCAAATATATGAAATTTAGATATTTGCTTTTGGTAGTGGATGAACAAAGGCTTTATTAGTTTCCATTTTTGCAACGGTCCCTTGGTCAGGTGATGGTTACTGGAAAATGTTTGTCTCCTGCTTTTTATTATTTTCTCTGGTTGGGTGGTGCTCTTGTAATTCAGAGAAAGTTTTCACACACTCTTCACCTCCTTAAAAGGACATCAGTTCTACTGGGATTTATTCTTCTCCTTTACGCATTTATCCATGTTCGAAATCCCTATTTGTTGGCATTTGGAGAATGGGCCTTATGAGTTCTTAAAATAAATAGGAGAGGAAGATTGCATTTCGAGTTCAAACTCGTAACTCAGTCTCCTCTGGCTGTTAACAACTTGAATGTCAATGTATAACAAATTGACAGGAATTCTGCTTCTAATATATGTATGTGACATTTGTTTTGGTAGCATATTATTAATCTTTAAGCCCCACTCATATGCTCCAACTAATCAGATTACTGATAACCTAATGGTTATGCATAAAGGATGTTTGGAAGGAGATCTTAGTTTAATACAAGAGCTTGAAGCAGCAGAACCACCCAATAATGCTCTCAAGCATATTTCGAAGGTGATTGTGGCTTGGTTAACAAATCTCTGCAGATGGTTGTAAGAGATGTCTGTCGTAGAAGTTTAAAATGTTACTTTCATCTTACATGCTTCCCTTTGGATCCAATTCACCTGATCAATCTACTCGTCAATTTTGATACAGGTTATGAGTGATTCTGATGATGACAGCAATGAAGAATATGTTGATCCCGAGAACTCGGTAAATGGCGACGCATCAATGATGGTTGTAGATGTTCTACAATCCCATTCTACTACCGATAAAGCTGAATGATGATTGATTTTTCCACATCTCAATCAACCAAAGCTGAAGATGGCTGGACTGTCGTTGCATCCAATCGCAACAGAGGTAGAAGAAACTAGCTTACACAATGTCAAGGGTTTGTGTTTTTCTTGGGAGTCTCTTACCTCGGGCCAAAAATTTTGACTACCCCTGAGCTTATAGTTGTTCATCACACAATGGTGATGGAGAAACTAGTACAACATATTTGTGGATAGTTTTGCCTTCATTAAATAAAACTAAATTCTTACTATGGAGATTTTGTCAAATTGGTTACTTCAAAATTTGTTATGATGAGATAAAACTGTTAATATGCCACCGAAGGTGTCTGCAAACTCTAATTCCGCAAGATGGTCTATACGAGTATTTTACCTAAGTTGGCCTTAGTGAAAATACAGAAGAAGAATTTACATGTAGGTACAGGTAAATGATCATCCTTTGTTGTTAAAATTTGTGAAAAGCGAAAAATTAGACAATTATTTTGGAATGTAACGAGTGCGGAATAGTGCATGAGGTAACATATGAATGGAAAAAAAATGTTAATATTATTACTTAATAATGCTCATTTCGTCTTGTTAAAAAAATTTCATCTCATTCATGTACGAAGTATTATTATTTTTTTTTGAAAATAAGAAAATGGCCTCAATAAATACATTTAATTTGATACCTTAATAATATAATTTTTCCATCCGAAACAAATAGTCTATTTTTTTATTATTTTAATTAAACAAAATAGATTTTTTTTTTTTTCGGAATAGAGCGAGTAATAACTACAAATGATTTACCATTCTTTTTTAAAAAGATATATGGAAAAACTTAGTTGACGTATTTGGAGTTACCAAGTAGCCCCATAATATGCATAGTTTTGAAAAGAAAATTCTTACTTTTTTTTTAATATATACACAGTGTATAAAAGCTTAGGCATAGATTAAAAGTCAACTCATGGAGATGGAGTTGAGCTAGGCCAGTCTAAACTCTAAAGTATGCTTAGTTGAATGTATCAGGATTCAGGACCATGAGAAAGTCATTTTTAACATTGCAAAAGTCAAATCGATGAAGTTGAACAAGGCCAGTCTAAAGTCATTTTTTCTAACGTTAGAAAATTCTTAGTTTGAAACATACCAATACTCCAGGAGTAATATACTTTAATATTCAAAATTTCGACAATCATTTCAAAGATTTTGTTGCTGGTAAAGCCATAATATGCTGGCGTAGATGAAGCCTAATTCACGGATTTTGACAATGATGAAAGTTACCAGCCGCATGATGCCTAATAAGTAATAACAACCCCATTGTCTCTGCCTCACGTATGTTCTATATTTCCTTTTAACGCTAATTTATTTTATTCATTTATTTTTCTACTCTTACGTCCCGAAATTTTTAAATTCAAAATCTCGTCATTATAAACTAAAATAAATTTATTTATTATTATTACTTTACTCAATTCTCTCACTTGACGTTTGATTCTGTTGAATCATACATCTCTAGGTATAATTATGAAGCACAAATGCATGTTTTGAAGTTTTTCTAGGTGTATTTTTGCGTTTGCTTGCTCACGCTAATGAAAATCACAATTTTAATAAGAACCGAGTTCCCTCCATCAGCTATATATGATCGCAATATTTTTGTCCAAAAAAAACCAATATTAAATTTTGAAATATGTATTGTTTTCGATACAAATTTTAAATTCAATGTAGAGTATCTTTTTAAGATGGAAGGAGTTTTAATTGTATTGTTCAAACAACCATTTTATTTTCTAACTAACCATCTGATTTGACACACACAAAAAAAAAAAAATACTTTGAACTATTTGCTTCGATATCTTTCGCTACAGTCAACAATGGGGTTTTTTTTAAAGGAAAGTCAACAATGGGTTAGGTCACGTCTTTGAAATTTTGGTGTTCGTCACAAACTTGGCAACGGCCGGCACACGCCGAAAGCTCCACCGCTTTTGAATTGTGGGATCTCTGCGAAAGTCATTCTAGAATTTGATTTTGACATTAGTAAAAAAAAAAAACATTTCGAGTTTGTGACGATTACTTCTTCAGTTTTTATTATGAGGCATAAAATAATTTTCTTCCCATGTATTATCTATAGTATATTATATTAAGAGAGAAATCAGAGAGAGAGGAAATCAAACTTCTCATTCCGTTGACACATAAGACAAAATTCTATGTGTCATTTTTTTATAGATTGACACAAAAAATATTTATTATAATTACACTAACAGTCTTTTGAATTTTCAGTAAATAAAGTTTCATCAAATAGTAATTAAATTGTATCAATTAATTGAGGGCTAAACTTTCACTTTTAAATTCGGCCAAACAAAAAAAATGGAACATTTTCTTTTAAGAAAATCAACATTAATGGTTTCTTTTCATTTGGTGTAATAAAGAAAAGGTAAAATTGATTTGATTTTATTATAATTATTACTGATTGATTTGAATAAATTTTCTGATTGACTTAAATAAAACTCCAATTATGGTTGATGACCTTACCTAAAAAAACTATGGCCAATGACCTTACCTAAAAATATAATCAAAATTAATGCTAAATCTGTTTTAATCGGAAAGTTGAAATCATAATATCAACATTAATGTTGATTCGAGTTTTTTGCACAAAAAAAAACTAAAACATATTAAATATGTTAAATATTTCAATATACATATATAATCCTGATTTTTTTATTAATTAGGTTGTAAATTACACTAAAATATCTTAACATTTTGAATTTTAAAATTCGATTTGAATTATGATAAGCATTAATCGCGTTTAATTTTAGCGTTTCATTAAAAATTAAAATTCCTAAACTTCAGGGATTTTATTCGGTTAGAAAACTTAATAACTTTTGACTGGACTTTATAAATTTAACAGGTATTGTACATTCACCTCCTCCTCTTTTCCCCCTCATTGACTAATTGGTTTTTTTATTTTTTATTTTTTTTGCAGCAAAACAATTGTTCATGCCCATTTTTCATCAAGGTTAGTTAATTAATTTCAGGAATGGAGTTTCTATCAATCAATGATAAATGTCAATTCATTTTATAGTTCACCAACTGTTTGATTTTGGTAGACTTTTGCATGTTTGTTCTATATTTCGTAATGCAGTTGTTTAACTTGATTATATTTTATTGATAATTTGGTTATGAGTTTTTATTATTAGATTTATTATTTGTAGTGGAGAATAAACGAGATCCGTATACGAGAAAGGGAATAAATTTTTTAAGACATTTATGCAACTTAGATGAGAGTTTGAAACACATACTATTAGCAGTTTATTAAAAAGTTCTAAAAGGTTTTTCGGTAAACCCTGAACCCTGAAAATGTTCAAATTTTATTTCCATATTAACAATCTAGATTGGGGAAGGGATCATCCAGGTAATCTTCTTTTTCCTATACTCTCTCAATTTTGTCTACTTATGAAATTTAAAGACTAACGAGTTTTAGTAATTTTTAAATTTCTTGGATGGGGCAAGTTAATCATATTGGACTGATGTGCTTGATAATGATTATGTTATGTCCAACTACGCTACACTATGGTAGATCACCAAAAACAATTTGGAGAAGTTCCAACTCAGTTTTTTCTTCTTTTTTTTTTTAATTTTTATGATATAGTTGTAAAATGTTTGTTTCACATTAATTTAGGTACAACAATGTAAATGTTTTATCGCAGGAAATATAATGCAAAATTTGATATTGTAAAGGAATTATTATACCAATTGAACAATAGTAAATAAATATAATTTTTGTGAGTTTTATACATTAAATTTTCTATTTATTGGGAGAAGTTTCGTCAGTATATATATATTTGTAACAAAATTTAAATTGTTTTTAAGGTGGGGCAAGTAATGCATTATCGACACATATGCTTAGACGTAGAAGGTGAAGGAAGAGTACAATATATTTGATTTACTACAGCCTATTTGTAAACAGAATGGTCGTTTATAGTATCAGTGGATAAAATAAGTCCTTCAAAAGTGTCAATTTTCTGAAATTAATATATCATAATCTCTTCCAATTATTTTCATTCTACAAAAATAAAAAATATTTCTTTGATACATATTATTTTTATCTTTGTACATAATTTATCTATCCCGCACATCATGCGGGTAACATCTAGTTATAAGTTATTTTGATTTGTCCTAACTTTCATTTAGTATGTTATTTTAATTAAAATAAAAGATTAAAAATACTTTATAATAATTAAGAGGACACAATAAATGTGAAAATATATGTTTAAGATTTTAGTTTCAATTGAAAAATACATTAACTAAATTTATTGACAAATCAAAATGACTTATAATAAGGACCAAAAGAGTATATAATAAAATAAAATTTCTATTAGCTCTAAAAAACCAGGATTCCCACCGTCCTACCAAAATTCTTTTTTTTTTTTCCCACCAAAATTCTTAACATAACGGCCAAAATTTGAAAAATTCAAAATGAAGGAAGTTGTGTTGTACCGCAAAATTTTGCTAGACAGAGACATCTTTTGTTTCATTTCATATAAAAAAAAAAAAGATGCATTTTTGTTACTCGCCCCAAAAAAATAATGCATTTTTGTTAGTTATTTTAAACTAGGTTAAATGGTCCTTACTCGAAAATAAGAAAGTCGATGTAAACTTTCATTGTATTCGATTTGCGATATTAGAGTTAGATAACAGATAAATTAAAAATTCAGAAGATTTTGTTTTTTTTTTTAAAAAAAAAAAGAGGTCTAGGAATTTTATATTCAATGTTACTAGATCCTTTTGCCATGATCGAAGTTCTGTAGGTCGTGTGCGTCTGGATTTTTAGTCCACTAAATTATGACTGACTAATAGTATGTACTTAATTATGATCAAATATTTGTTATTATGCCAGTGTATGATAATTGAGTACACATCTTGGGCGTTGGGAGGAATAATGCCAGTAATTATACCCTCTTTTAAAAAAAAAAAAAAATCTATCCCAGTGAACTTCACTTAAATATAGATAAAATCCCTCTTACAAACCCTGGTGAAAAATTATGACTGACTAATAATATGTACTTAATTATGATCAAATATTTGTTATTATGCCAATGTATGATAATTGAGTGCATACTTGGGCGTTGGAAGGAATAATGCCAGTAATTATACCTTCTCTTTTTTTGAAAAAAAAATAAAAATTCACCCCGATAGACCCTACTTAAATGTGAATAAAAACCTCTTTACAAACCTCTTAGTGGGAATCGAACCTGATCTATTACCAGAAAATATAGCACCCTAATCAATAGGGTATCATTCAATTCCCTGCCAGTAATTATACCCTATAATTAGCACAAATTTTTTACACTAATTACAACTTGAAACAGAAAATGAAAACCAATTACTTGTCTAATTTGTATTTTTATTTTGAATCTGTAATTCCCGATTTCGTAATAATATTCATTATCTACTGTTATTAATATACTGATCCAGTGCTAAAAATATGTACAACGTATAACAAATAGTAAGGAAGTTTTGTAGAAACAAAATTTATTTATACATGGAAACCAAAAACATAACAAATATTCACCGTGGATAATGGAAAACAATCGATCAAATCAAGGAGGAAAGGAAAAAAAAACCAAAAAAAAAAAAGAGAGAGAGAGAAAAATTGATGATGAATAATAATTGTTCATGATGCCATCCAACAAACGAAGCATCATCATTTGACATGATCAGTATAAAAGTAACAGATTTACACGAAGTGGTGATTACTATTCACCCCCCACCGCACACAGGCATAATTCTTCAGCATTATCGTTACCCACCTTACAGAAAGAAAAAGATATAATTATTATATATGACGTGATTGCCGTCCATTATTACTACTTCCTCTGATCATCACTATAAAATATTTTGTTTTCTTTTAAATTTTATTTATTATTATATTTTTTTAATTAAAAATAAATCTTAAAAATATATTTCACATTTATTGTGTTCTCTCAATTTATGTTGCACATTTTTAAGGTTTTATTTTTTTTAAAAAAATATGATAATAAATTTAGAAGAAATCAAAATGTCTTATAATAAACAACAGAGAGAATATCTAGATATTTACACATGCACCTGCATAACAAAATACTAAAAATTATTAAAGCTTTTCCTATTCGTGACTTACATGACCTACTGGTGAGAAATTCCTCTTCCACCTATTCGAACCTTTGAGTAAATCGACTTAGTACATCCCGCATTATGTTGGTATATATATATTGAGATTAGATACATAAATCATCCAACGCAGGATCGCAATAGTTTTATTTATGACTAACTTAACTAGTCTAGTTTGGTTGGAAAGAATATTATAAAGGTTCAGATGAACTTTTTTCTAGGAAACATTTGTGAAATTAAAGAAACAATATTCTCTTAAAAAAAAAAAAGAAACAATATTTAGAAGGTGCTTTCATCATATACATATTTCTATTCTTACACAAAAACCCATAAAATCTAATATACAAAAGATGTACCCACATTTTTAGCACAACCAATCAATAGGAATTAATATTGGTTTTTTAGGACTCATGAATTTCTCCCTTTCTCCCGTAAAAATATTAACTTTCCCGTTTTTGTATATAAAATGTACATCTGACGTGGTACATTATTTAGGGATTTACCGACAAAAACCATGCGATAGATCTCTTTTAATACATTATTTAGTTGCATATTTCATAATAAGCTAATTTGGAATGTATTCATGATGAAATCCATAGTCTCACTGTTTTACTATGTATATATGCAAAATTATCCATACTGAAGTTAGTAAAACAACAAGAACAGTGTAGTCGATTGTAAATCAATCTTTTTATGTCAATCGACAACTTAAATTTATAAAACTAAATTTTACGTAAAAGATAATGTTAAATCTTAAAAACGAAGTTGACAGACAGAATTATCTAATAATTGTTTATCTGTGTCATGGTAGTGTTTTGTTGCCAAACTTCTTCGCTATTTAAGTTTATTTCTTTCTTTCTTCAAAAAATAAGAAATATATTTTATTTTTCGTTGAGAAAACATATGATGAACAGAAGTTGATTATCGTGAAAAAGTTTATCTGGTAAGATGCTTTAAAAGATCCTTTTGTTCCTTCCAAATTTTTACATTTTGTAACTACAAGAGTGAAGAAAAAAATAAACCTCCTCGTGATTAGACCTTGAAACTAAGGCTTGTGAAATATCATGACGATTTTGTCAACCTTCCTCTCGCGTCAAGTTTGTATGACAATTTTCTACTAAGAATAATATCCCAATTTTCTATCTCGCCAAACCATTTTTGTAATGTTCAAGGGATTGAACTTACAGTTTTGTGGAGTTTGAATGAATTTTAACATTGACATTATTAAAATTTTTACCGCAAAATGGTAAAAACCAACATATATGTATAAGTGCACCATGAAGGTGAAAAAAGACAGGCAAGAGACAAGAACAACCTTTGTCGAACATAAGTTTAGGAGTTTAGAAACTTTGGTCAAGCAAAGTAATATACATCATTAGGTAATGAAACCAACTACTCGAATTTAGAGAAGTTGATTATGTACTGATCGTAAAATTATAAGACCGAGTATAAATGGCGAAAGATCAACAATGAATACTTTTAAGGGACTCCCCCAAGTCCCTAAAGGATTCCGCCACTAGATAATGGTATATTATATATCATTTGGAGTCTTAAACGAGTTTAAGTTTTTAAGTGGACACTCCCAACGCAAAAGATCTCATTTATTCACCACATTTTACTTTTTATCATTGTGACACGAAGATATCTATTTTAAGTAATTAGCACAACCATAAATTGATATTCATATCAAGTTATCAAACATTATTTTTCCAAAAATAATATCTTTCTAATCTAACCATTTCCGCTAACCTTAAGGTCCTAAAAAGAAATGGTCAACTAAGGAATTTAATATGGCCATGGAGAAGAAAAAAAGCAAAGGCCGTATCCAAATCTTTCCCATACACCAAACTCGTGGTTTCCGCATTTTGCTCCTTTTTCCCATTGTTGTCGTCATCATCCGACCAATCGAACCCACTACTACTCAAACATGGCCCCCACCAAGGATGAACAATGGGTAGGACCCGGTTTCCCCTAAACCCCACGTTCTCTCCTTGTACGCACCAAAAAAAATATTTTTTCAACCCGGAATCTAATCAAATGAAAGTGAAGTAGTAATTAAATACGGGCTGACCCATATATGGCAAGCGTGTAATTTCACCAATGATGAATTTTAAATAGTCTTTTCCTACCGGCGGGTGGGGGCCCAGCCAAAGCAATGGGTTTGGTTTAAGTTGACTGTTGACTTTCAAAGGAATCATGTCTAATCCGTCACGTTAATTTATTCTTTGATTTACATATTGTAATACTATTTATTTTGGGGGAGACTACTTATTAGTTGGACTGTTCTTATAGTAAAATCAAATCCATTTGCTGATGTGACCACATTCCCTTGTTTTCTCATTGGAGAGGTATCGATTTCGGTATTTCAATACAATTTTTTAATAGTAATTTTCTTCTTGGTCTAAAATTCTAGTAGAAATTTCATAAATCTATTTTTAAAATAGTTGAATTAATTTTTCGAGTCGGAAAGAGTGTAACTTTTATTCTTGTATTTGATAATACAGGAATTTTATAAATTTCCAACCTTTTTTTTATGACTGATATACAGTGAGGAAATTTCTCATCAAAAATTGAAATCCTTCCTTTCTCTGTAAGACACATTTTTTTTTTTATACAAAAGATATAAAAATGTGAGGGAGTACTTACAAACATGCTTTTACATGTGTGTCGAATTTATCTCTCTCTTGTTATTCGGAGTGTGTTCATGCTGCAGTTTCAACTTTCAACTATTAATCTTTCTAGCTAAATTATTAGCATTCCAACAAATGAGACAGTTGATTAAAAAATTTAAGATTTTTCCATGCTGATAACAGGTAAATAATTTTTATCATTAATGATAATTCAAGTAAATGAGAAAATATAGTTTACGAGTACTAGATAAAAATTGATACGCTGATAGTGTTGGAGTACGTCTCATTTGATATTTACGTTTTTTCGAGAAATAAGATACGGTAGAATTATTCCTAACAAAAATTAAAATGGAAGAGAATACAAGGCATGAATTTCAAATACACTAGTGGGAAAACCACACTAAATTGTATTCCTTCCGTCCCATAATTATTGTCCAGTTTGAATTTTCGTTTCTAGTTTATTGTACTAAAAATAAAATTTCAAAATTATTGTCCAGTTTGAGTTTTCATTTCTAGTTAAAATTACACTAAAAGTGAAATCTCAAACTGGACAATAATTTTGGGACAGAAAAAGTACAAAAGAATAAAACCCCATACATTTTAGATACACTTTATGTTTTTTATATTTAATGGGTGCCTTCCAATAAGGACAAACAAAATAAAAAAAAAAGCACCTTTCTTTGACCGTAGACCAAACCAAATACTACCAACATTGAATATTAAGAACTTTTTGCAAATTTCTCGTAAAATGATTAAATTAAATATGTATAATTATTTATTAACCATTACTATTGGCTGTATATTTCTGTCTTTCTTTAAACTTACTAGTACTACTTTAATTAATAAAAAGAATCCCTTAAAAAGAGGAAATTATGAAACAGAACCTCATAAAAAGAAAAGTGCGAAACCGACCCCACATGACGTCACTATCCTTTGACTCTCTGTTTTCCCCTTTTTAAACCACTGTCCCCTGTATTCCCCCACCTCTCTGTTATTTTTTCTCTCTCTAAATGCTTTTGTTCCATTTGTCTCTCTCTCTACAACTCATTGAGTTTTCTGAGTCAAGATTTTTGAACTCCGGTGGATCAAAATAATGGTTCGACAGAAGAACGATTTGTGTATTTCTGTACCGACTTTTTTCCGGTGTCCGATTTCATTGGACGTGATGAAGTCTCCGGTGAGTCTCTCCACCGGCGTCACCTACGACCGGAGTAGTATCCAGCGGTGGTTGGACGGCGGCAACAACACGTGTCCGGCGACTATGCAAGTCCTTCAGTCAAAGGACTTCGTCCCAAATCACAATCTCCATCGGCTTATCCAGATCTGGTCGGAATCGGTCAATACTCGGCCGCCGGGGACCAGCGAGTCCGCCACCGCCGCCGTCAACTCGGTGACGCCGGCCGAAGCGAATATCATCATCCGGCAGCTCAAAAGCCTCATTCCGATCCTCGTTAAGGGGGATAATCTTCCGACCCATGTGAATATCTTCCACCAATCTTTAGCAAAGGTGATCCTTTTCGCGAAAATTTCGGATGAGACTTCCAATTTGGTTTCTTCTTCCGGGTCGGAACTCATCCCGGCGATTATTTCCAGTTTCTGCAAACTTCCGTTGCAAATTCAGGCAAACGAGAATGTTTTCCATCTGATTCGCATCCTATTGAAGAATTACAGGCGGGGGCGAGACGAGATCGTCGTCGACGAAAAACTGGTTCCGACCATGCTTAAATTTCTTCGGCAGGGGAGTCAGGAAGTAAGAATCTCCGCGGCTAAATTGCTTAAATTCGTGGCGGAATCTCGGGATGAGTACAAAACCTTGATTTGCGAAAACGAAGATGTCCTAAAGGAATTATTAAGATTAACGATGATTAATTCCGGCCAGGGTGATCAAGAGACCACGGAAGATTGCTTAACTTGTTTGCTGACGATTTCCACCCCTAAGAAAAACAGAGCAAGAGTTGTTCGTTCCGGGGCGGTAATTGTACTAACTGAAGCACTACACAAAGGCGAATTGAATGTGAAATTGGTGGAAAAAGTACTGAAATTGCTGGAATTGCTATCCACATGTAAAGAAGGTAGAACAGAGATCTGCAGGAACGAGAAATGCATCGAAGGGACAGTGAAGAAAGTGCTTAAGGTTTCAACGTTGTCAACGGAGCATTCAGTGACGATTCTATGGAGTTTGTGTTGTTTGTTTCGGGATCCAAAAGCTCAAGAAGCTGTGACCAAGAGTAATGGGATGGCCAAAATACTTTTGTTGATCCAAAGCAATGTGTCACCGGCAGTGAGACAAATGTGCAATGATTTGCTTAAGGTTTTTAAGGTTCAATCCAGGACTTCTTGCTTGTCCAGCTATGATACCAAGACTACTCATATTATGCCATTCTGATCATTTTGTTATTGTTCCCAATGTAGATTGAATTGATTGATAGTAGAAGTTCTTTTTTTGTAAATTTTTTTAAAGCAAATTTTGCTGACAAGATTACATATATACAACATGGTGAAAAGATAGAGGAACATTAAATTCTTTTCAAATTTTAATTGGCCTTGTTCTTTTCAGATAGTTTTGATTTGATGCATGTCAAACCTACAGAGAAGCATGATTTTTTGGGCCCAAATTATTGCAGATGTTTGACAGTAGTTTTTTTTTTTTTTTCTGACTTTCTGGAGGAGATTTCCAAAATAACCATGGCAATATCTATATGAGGAATTGTTAGACTAGTTTTTAGTAAATTTTCAGAAATGATAGTTAGATCGCCTACATATTTTGGTTCTTCATTTCATCATCCAACGTTTAATAATCTTTTGTTATATATACTAATATCAATTTCAATTTTTCCATCATTCTCCCCAGAAATATGCTTTCGATACTACAGTATTGCAAATACCTCATCAAGTTCAGTGTAATAATATCTGGGGGAAAAAGAAACAAGGAAGAAACTAAAAAATGAAGAAAGATTTGGAAAGTTTTTCAATAATGGTTTCCAACGCATTTGGCTTTATTTAAATTCTACTATCACCCTAGTTGATTTTATATGCGGTGAAAAGCAGAATCTTCTTGTGGAGGGACCAATAAAATAATAAGCACCCAGAGGCCTAGAGTTAAAGAGCGTAAAACTACTGTCTAATTCAATTAATTCCGCTATACAGTTTATGTTCAAACACTGATTACATAATTAGAGAATTGAAAACTTAACTGAACAGTATTTTTTGTGAAGCAAAACTCTCATTAATTACTTCAAGTTCCACGATTTCATCGTGGTGGAGCCGTATTTACTGTTTTTTAGAGCCCCCTAGCCTGTCAGAGAGATGATTTCTAATTACTTGCATGATTCAGTGGAAGTAAAATGCTGAAACGATTTACAAGAGGGAAGAAGACGATGAAAAATAGAAATCAATGCTGAAACAGCTGCAGCTAGCAGTACTTTGCTGACTTGCACATGCAAGCAACAAAACCTTTCACTTTCATCATCTGGTGCAACTTTGATTTTGTTTGGTACTTTGGTTGTCAAAGTATTATACAGTAGTATATAAAATTGCAACCACAATTTCAAAGTAAAATCCGTGTAAAGTGGAAGAAGCTAGTGTGTGTATGTATATTGAATTGCAAAAAAACAGTAATGGGTTTGACCATTCCAAAATTCCTACACGCCATGTATTCTAAAATCTAAGGTATGTAGGCCAAGAAAAGATTCCAATGCTTCTCCACCTTTTTTTTGTAAAATAATTTGAATTCAATTTAAAATTACGTCATACAAATTGGAGTGAAGAGAATAATGCTTAAGAGAATAAATAGATTTTTATTTTCTTTTGAAATGGTACATGTATTTAAATAGAAGTACCTACTATTAGAATGACAGGAATTATGAGCCATGTTATAAAGTTCACTAACATCAAATGTGCTAACTTTAATCAATTGGCAGGAATCAAAAAGTTAATGTTAAAGCTAAAAATAACGAAGTAACTTCCAGGGCCTCTGTCGGGACAAGCACATTTCGTAAGTCTATTGTTAACACTTTACAATCGGAAAAATAGGCCGATCTACCCAAAGGTTGACATATATTGTCAATTCTACCATATTCTTTTTCGGTTAGTCAATATTACCCTAAACTATCCAACCTGATATGCTAATAATTTACCGATTTTTAATATCCCTTTATGTGAAATTTTGCTAATATTTTGAATACAAATGTACTATTTATGTGATTTCATATTTGATTGTAGGAATTGTACTCAATTGGAGGAATTGTTGAAATTTTAGGCTAAAATGAAGATAAAAGTAACTTAAAGGAAGAATTGATGATTCGATAAATTGGCAAGGAATAAATTAAAGTACTTGAAAAATTAGAGGATTAAACAAGCAATTTCGGAATCTTGTTTGGTTTATGGAAATTGGCCGAAACAATGACTTGTGGCTGATTTGGGATTGAATTTAAGTAAGAATTTTAATCCCAATATTATTTGGGAAACAAGTTTTCTTCCTCTCTAAAAAATAAGGTTTTGATGGAAGTCTATAAAAGAATGATTAGGGATTTATTTTTACAATAGAACTGAACCGAACTTGACCGAATTTCGGCAAATTATCCAGTATACCCGGGGGCACCGTGCCCCCCTCCTATTTTTTGCACGAATAGTCCTTATTTTACTTTTTCATCAATCTTTCTATGATTTGAGTGGATAGTCCCTATCATTTTTTCTCTCTCTTTCAAAAAAAAAACATCTCCAATCTTTCAACGAGCATATCTCCCAATCCGTGAAGAATTTGTGAACGAATTATACATGAAAATTATAGAACTCGTCGAGATCTGTTCAACAAAATCCATTTCGAATATTTTTTTTGAGTTTAAAAATGATCAAATTTCTTTGGACAGAATTAAGTTGGATATCCAGTACAAACAAGTTGGATAATCGGAATGAACACAGTGGATAATCAGTACAAACAATTTGGATAACCACAAACCAATGATTGGATAACCAATACAAACGAGTTGGATAAACAACTTAGTTTATTATTTTTTAAAAAAATAATAAAAAGAAAACCCAGGTTGGATAAATAATACTAATTAGTTGGATAAACAGTATTAACATAAATAATCAAGATGGATAACCAACTTATTTTACATTCATATTATTCTTTTCCTTGTATCTAATGATTCGTAAAGAATTATAACATGAATTATATATGAAATTTATAGTACTCGACGAGATCTATCCAATAAGATCCATGTTGAATATTTTTTTCGAACTTTAAATGCATTTAAATTTTACGGGCAGAAATGAAGAAATGCGTTTTTTGTTTTTCTTTGAAAAATAGTTATCTGTTATGTTCCTACTGATTATCCAACTGGTTTGGACTGATTATCCATTCTACTCGTACTTGTTATCCAATCATATGTTTGACATTCACTCTTCAAAAAAAAAAAAAAAGATGGATAACCACCTCTATCTGCCCGTCAGAATTAAGTCATTTTTAAGCCCGAAAAAATATTCACTGTGGATTTCGTTGGGTAGATCTCGACGAGTACTATAAATTTCATATAATTCGTTCACAAATTCTTCACGGATTGGGAGATATGCTCGTTGAAAGATTAGAGTTGGATATGCATGAACACAGTGGATATCCAGTACAAACAAGTTGGATAATCAGTATGAACACAGTGGATAACCAGTATTAGCGCATTGGATAATCAATATGAACACATTGGATAACCAGTTCAAACAATTTGGATAACCATGTAAATCCATTAGATAACCAGTATTAGCGCATTGGATACTCAATATGAACACAGTGGATATCCAGTTTGAGAAGATGGATAACCAACTTATTTCACATTCATATTGTTGTGTTCCTTGTATCTTTTAATCCGTAAAGAATTATAACACGAATTATATATGAAATTTGTAGTGCTCGACGAGATCTATCCGATAAGATCAATGTTGAATATTTTTTTGAACTTTAAATGCATTTAAACTTTATGGGCAGAAAATGAAGAAACGTGTTTTTTTGTTTTTCTTTGAAAAATGGTTATCCGTTGTGTTCATGCTGATTATCCAACCGGTTTGGAGTGATTATCCATTCGGTTCGTACTTGTTATCCAATCATATGTTTGACATTCACTCTTCAAATAAAAAAAAAAGAAAAAGAAAGAAGATGGATAACCACCTCTATTCTGCCCATCAGAATTAAGTCATTTTTAAGCCCGAAAAAATGTTCATTGTTGATTTCGTTGGATAGATCTCGACGAGTACTATAAATTTTATATATAATTCGTTCACAAATTCTTCACGGATTGGGAGATATACTCGTTGAAATATTAGAGTTGGATATGCATACAAACCAAATGGATGGATATCCAGTACAAACAAGTTGGATAATCAGCATGAACACAGTGGATAACCAGTACAAATAATTTGGATAAGTATGTAAGTCCATAGGATAACCAGTATTAGCGCATTGGATAATCAATATGAACATATTGGATATCCAGTTTAAGAAGATAGATAACCAACTTATTTTGAATTAAGAAGTTGGATAACCAAATGGATAAGCAGTAGAAACAAAATGGATAACCAGTTTAAACTGATTGGATAATCAGCATGAACACAGTGGATAACCAATTTAGAACAAGTTGGTTATCCATCTTGTAAAACTGGATATCCACCCCTATTCTGTCCATCAGAATTAAGTCATTTTTAAGCCCGAAAAAATATTCATTATGGATTTTGTTGGATAGATCTCGACAAGTACTATAAATTTCATATATAATTCGTTCACAAATTCTTCACGGATTGAGAGATTTGCTCGTTTAAAGATTAGGGATGTTTTTTTTGGAAGAGAGAAAAAACCCACAGGGACTAAACGTGTAAAGTATAGAAAAATTGAGAAAAAAGTACAATAAAGACTAAAAATGTAAAAAATAGGAGGGGGGCACGGTGCCCCCAGATATACTGGATACAGCCTCCGAATTTCCACCATCTCCACCCCCTTTTTCGGCCAAACCCCACGCCTCATCACCTCCTTCTCCTCCCAGCCTTTCTCCATGAATCACCAAGTCCCCCCAAACTTCCCACGCACCACCGAACCTTTCTCTTCCTTGCTCACCCTCCACGCACCCTATCTTCACCTTAATCATCATCATCCCCCACCGCCGCTCCATCACTTCTCCTCCAAACCCACGCAACACATAAAAAAAAAAACCCCCTACGCTCCAAACTACCTTCCAACTCCACGCACCCAACTCTACGCACTATCATAAGGAGGAAGCAAGCAACTTCGGACTCAACTTTTGGCCTACTTCTCCCGGGTTTCATTGTTTTATTTATTTTTAAGATAATGTGTAGCTAAAGTATTTAATATAGGGTTTTGGATGTAGCCGCCGTACTATTTAATTTAATTTAAGTTATGATTGTGATTTTTTTCATTAATTAATATTTATTATTCTTGTTTTTCATCCATGTGAATACATGATCAATATTTGTATGCTTTAAGGTGCTAGCTGAAGTAGCGAGAGTGGAAGGCTAGTATTAGTTTGTAGGAATATTAAACTTAGGTAGTGAGCCACGAGAGTAGGAACACCGCCTTTGCGACTAGTAATTCCAGAGTTCTTAATGTGCTTTTATTAATCCCTATAGTCACGAGAGTAGTCATAGGGTTAGTTTAAGTAAGAGGGTTATGACACGAGAGTGTATAATTTTTAAATTGGTGAATTGTCGTGAGATTAATGAGAGTCGAAAGTCACATATCTATAGATTAAATTAAACTGAATAGTCGGTTGGTGAACCCGTTGCCCTAGGTTTTTCTTTTACTTATTTATATCTTTAAATAATTGCAATTGATAGTTTTAGGTTTAGATTAGTTTAAATTGATAAATTGTTAATCTAAATAATAATAACAAATAATTTTAACCGGTACTTGGTAACCTTCTCTGTGGGATCGACCCTGCTTTCTGCTTTACTGCTAGTAATTGTATTAAGTAGGTAATTATTATTTGACTAGTGTGACGACGGCTTGTCACAACCGTTAGCCGATTTGGTCCAATTTACTAATTTCTGTTTAAATTGACGGAATTCTGTTATGTTTAATTATAAAAATATCCTAATAGTTTTAAAATTATAAAAATGACCTCAAAAATTTGTAAAAATAACAAAACAGTCTTTTTTCAGTTTTATTTTAATTTTTTTGGGTTAATATCAAAAACACCCCTGAGGTTCAATCCATTATCTAAAACACCCTCCCCTTTCTATGATATATCAAAAACACCCCTTGACCGGTGAAACTTGAAAGTCAGACGATAAGATATGTAAAATGACCAAAAAACCATGTAATTTCCGGTAAAGAATCGGCGGGAATAGGAAGAAGTCAGCCCCGCCAAAAGATTGGATAAAAGTTCAATTATACCCCTTCCAGCAACCAACTTTTAGAAATATATGAAAACCACTCCTCCCACGAACTCACGACAAACATAGTGAACCATCTTCGAAATCCATCCATCTTCAAAACCGCAATGCTCTCATCCATAAACTACTCACAATGAATCTTCCAATCCATCAGATCCCATTTACATGAGATTAGATTACTGAAAACGTGAAGCAAACAATCCGTAGAAGATTTTACGAAACAAGAAAATTCTGGCGGAATACCTTCTGTGGTGGCTTGTTTGGAATGGTAAGGACACGAACCCCTTCCTACAACTGCATGGCATGGTTAGGGTTGCATTTTTTTCCTAAATCCATGGTTTCAACAGCGATTAAATGTTTGAATATGGAAATCCGAATTATTAAAATTTCAGTAAACATTTGGGGTTTTCTTAATTTAAAGTTCTTTTTGATTGACTTGTGCAGTAATACTAGATTCTAAGAGTATGTAAACTATAATTACATTCAAAAATTGATCTATGTGTTGTGCTTTTTAATTTGTGAGGCTTTACATTGGTTCGATGCTATTTTTTTTTTTTTTTTGGAGAACCTGGTTGGTTTTATCGGGTTTTATGGTTGTTTTTTGTTGATTGTAATCAACTTACTAGCTTGTAACTGCATATTATATTAATTATAGGATTACTTGTAATCTGCTCTATATGCAATTTAAAGATGTTAAGTTAGAGATTTTTTAATGTGCTTGTTTCAGAAATATTAATGCAATTTAAACTAAATTGCAGGCCGATCAACACTTCAAGTTAAAGTTGCACTATGGAGGTCAACATAAAATAATATATGTGGATCCTTCTGAGTACTCTTTGGTTGTACTCTTTTCTGACATCATTGAGGTATTTTTAAATAGGACTGAAGCTTGGAAAGAAATGAATCTTGCTATTAGATGTAGAGTTCCTGGTAATTTAAACTTTGTGGATGTTGATTCTGACAGTCGTCTCTTCGAAGTCTTGAACTTGCATGGTTTTGACAATTTTATCAATTTTTTTGTGTCTGACTCTGATTTCAATGCTGGAGCTCCTATGAATTTGCATGAGAACAAAGAAGTGGAACCTGATCTGCATGTCAATATTGACGGTTTAGCTTTTGGCAAGTCTCAGTTAGGGTTTAGGGACAATGTGGGTAGTGACATTGATATGTCTTTGTATATGAGTTCGGGTGATTTGAAATTGTCTAGGGGATCTGAACTTGTGGAAAAAGACAGTTTCTTTGCTAATAATGTAGTTATACCTGGACAGTTGCGTGAAAATGTTGGTATGGCTTCTGGAAATGTTGTTGGGAATCAGAGTATTGTCTTTCATGATGTGAATGACTTATGTAAGACTGTGAACACTTTTCTAGATGCTTCTATGACAAAAGGAAAGAAAAAACGTAAAAGAAAGCTAAATCAAACCAAAAAACCATGTACGATGAGGAGAAGTTCTAGAATCTTCAATAGTGGAGAAGGTACGTCTGCTGGTGAATGATGATTTAGTTAATGATGAATGTAGTAGTGAAGATGAGTTATATATGCTCTGAGTGATAATGATTATATCCATCTAGAGGGGGATGACATAATGCTAAACAAATATTCAACGGAGGAATTCGAAAATGATGGTGAAAGTGATAGTGTATTGTCTGACGGCGAGGGTTCAAATGGTGATAATTCTGATAGTGATCTTGAGGAGGACCAAATGAGTGGTTGTTTGAACAGGGATAAATTTCAGATATTAGAAGGAGAAAAGTTAAAGCTTCTGCCTGGTATGTTGTTTGAGAGTGTTAAATCTTGTAGGAAAGTTCTATCCAAGTACTCAATACTTTGGGGAATCACTCCAAACAAGATTAAGAATGATACAACAAGGGTTACTTCCGTTTGTAATGATAAGAAGTGTAAATGGAGGTGTCATGCTTCTGTCATGCCTGATGGGGTGACTTTTGCTATTAAGACATGCAACCTTGATCATACTTGCTAGGTTGATACCGATTAACAAGTGATGGAGACCATCGAGCTAACACCAATGGAGAGGGACATGTTGCTGCCAATAATGGAGAGGACGAGCAAGTTGAGGTCGTGAATGTTAATGGAGGATCTAAAGATGCTGCTTTAAAGAATAATCCTTACATCCGTGATCCACTCTCAAATATTGTTGGACCAATGACTCGTGCTAGATGCAAGAGGATGGATGAATCACTTAATAGTCTAGTTACTACTACATGGGCTAAGGAAGAAATTAAGCTTGAAGATTACAAACCCAAGACTATTAATTTGTTGCAAGTGACACCAAATGGACTTGGCCCATTTGGAGAGAAGGATTTTTCGGCCCTCAATCCAAGGAGAGCCGCCGGCCACACTCCTCATGTTGGTCGAATAGATCCCTAAAGTTTAGATCATTTAAATTTTATCTCTTTGAAAGATAAGACTTTATCTCTTTAAAGGATAATATTTGGGATGATTCCTTTTATCTTATTTTCGAGTTTCCTACAATAAGGAGTCAACTTTTGATGTCTACTCAACCGTTGGATGAAGACTACATCAATATGGATGGCTAAGATCACTCTACAAAGAAGATGATGATAGAGTTTTAACTCAAGGGAGATTCTATCCATAGGAATCTTTCTAAGAGATTATCTCTTTGTATTTTAAGTTTTAATTAATTCCTACAAGTCTTAAATGTTTTAAGACTGGGAAAAGTGTCTAGGTTCGTTATCTTATCACTTAAGATAACTAGGAGTCTTTAGAGTTTGATTTGATTTTAAATTCTTAGAGATAGGAATAGAGGTGAAGAGTTGTGTTCTTCCTCTACTTCTTGGGAAGAAATTTCGGCCACTCCCTCTACAAATAGGGATCGAATTTCTCTTGTCCAACACACCTGAGTGAAATTGGTTAGAATTTTATTCCTTTCATTGAGTTCTTGTGAGGACTTCTTTGTTTAGTTGTTGCATATGTGTTGTGACAATTGTTAGACTTATCTATCTTGTTTAGTTCACTTGATAGTGGTGTCTTTAGCATTGGATTTTTCGAATCTTGGTACTTAAGCTCATAGATCTCATATCTATTGTGTTTTCCTACACAATTTTCCAAGGGGTCTCTGCTTGGTTGGAAATAGCTCTCTTCATTCTTGATTTGGGTTGTTCTACCATTGAACTCATGAATTGATCCACGTGAGATCAAATATCTTTTCTTTTGTTGTTTTTTGTGTTTTGTGTCATTACATCCGAATTCTTCAAATTCCACTGCCTACAAATTTCTGTCTTTCCGATTTAGCAAAGTTGATCTTTCCTTAAAGATTAGTTTTGTCACGGATTGCTATCAACAAGCTTCAGCAAGGTGGATTGCTAAAAAGATAGAAGGGCTGGTCAGGTCTGATTCGGAATGTGAAGATCCAAGTGCTCAGGGAAACTTTATCCAAATATGGAGTTCACCCCTCGAATCTTCAACTTTTCAGAGCAAGAACACTAGCAGTAGAAAATGTTGATGGTAGCCATGCTAATTCTTAAAAGCACTACCCAAGTATTGTCAAATGGTTATGGCAACTAACCCTGGAAGTGTAGCAAAGATTAAGATCATATGGTTATAGGAAATAGAATTCCAAATATACAAAGAGTATTCATAGGATTTGACGCCGTTAAAAGGGTTTTTATGCAAGGTTGCAGACCTTTCATTGGATTTTATGGTTGTCACTTGAAAGGTCCATATGGGGGGGTACTACTCACTGCTATTGGTCTTGATGGAAATAATAACATTATCCCACTTGCAATAGCTGTGGTAGAAGTTGAATGTAAAGAGAGTTGGATCTTCTTTTGGAGTCATTTAAGCTTCTTAATGGAAGGATTCCCAAGGGACAAGGAGTGGACATTCATGACAGATAGGCAAAAGGCAAATAATTTATATTTATTTATTGTGATTTTTAATTAATTTTTATGAAAAATTTCTTACTGATTTAAACTAAATTTTGGGTTTGCAGGGACTACTTGATGCAGTAAATAAAGAAGTTCCACATGCTGTGCATAGAAGATGCGCTCACCATATTCTGTCCAACTTTAAAGCGCTGTTTCCAGGGTTACTTCTGAGGAAACTATTTTGGAAAGCTTCAAAAGCTTATACAGAAGTTGAGTTCAAAAGGGCAATGACCAATATTCAAAGCATAAATCCAGCGGCTTATAAATGGCTTGACGATATTGGTAACATCGTTTGGGCTAGACATGCTTTTTCTGAAACTTTGAATTGTGATCATGTAACCAACAATATCTCTGAGTCATTTAACAGTTGGTTAGGGGACTTGAGGGAGATGCCCATTCTCACAATGGTTAACACATACAGGGGGAGAGTGATGACAAAGATCAATAAAAGATATGCGAAAGCATGTACATGGACAAATGAAGTGACCGTGCACGTTATAGAAGAGATGAAGACTGCTGCACAAGAATGTAGGAATATGAAATACTGGTTAGCAAGTGGCACCACTTATGAAGTTAAGGATGATAATAAGTCTTATGTGGTGACATTAGGGACTAGAAGTTGTGATTGAAAAGTCTGGAATCACAGAGGGATTCCATGCAAGCATGCTACCTTGGTGATACTTAATAGAAGAGAAAAACTGGAGGACTACTGTGATCAAAGTCTTTCAAAAGATCAGTATATAAGGGCTTATAGTCATTTGATCAATCCAATTCCGGACATTGATTTCTGGCCAGAAATACAAGTTCAAGAATGCCTTCCTCCAGTGCTTAGAAGAAGAGTTGGGAGGCCTAAGAAAGCTAGGAAAAGAGGAAAAGATGAATTGAAGCGATCCAGTACTATCAAATGTAGTAGATGTAAAGGATTTGGGCACAATAAAAGATCATGTGCCGGAGGACCTGTTAGGGCAAGAAATGGTCAATAACATCAAACAAATCAGGTTAAGTTTATCTCATAGTTTCATAATTTTTTATAATGTATTTAGTTTCTGTTATTTAAACTGCTGTTAAATATTGAAAATCATGATTTTATGTGTTTGATACTTAGCCCGGAGGGGAGATTTAAGCCAGATGGTAGGTTATGATATAGTTAATCAACAAGGAAATCATCAGGGTGTTCATCATAGGGAAAGTCAAACCAGGCAACAAGGAAGTCAACATGATGGTTGTCAAAGGGAACATCATATATGGTTATCAGGAACTCAAGAATCGTCATCTTAATTCCGGATGATGTCAAACAAAACTTCCACGAAAAGTCATGTAAATAGTTATAATAATCATATGAAAATCATGTTATGAATCCTTTGAAATTTACAACATTGCCTAGTTTTGCATTTTTTCATAGGAAGCACGTTTAGGTTCAAAGATTGATAAGCAAACAATTAAAAATCATGCAGCAATTATTGCCAAATGATTTTAAAATGCATGCAACTAAACCTGATGTATACTCATTTTTTGTTTAATATGTATTTGTGGATTGAAATGGATCAACTTATCCTAATTGGTGAATCTGATCACTTTGGAGGAAATCAAATGTTGACTGATATGCCCAATCAGTCAAGATGTTTGGATAGTGCAAATCAGGTAGGGTGTTTGGCAGTATCTAGTCTTGCATTGACTTGTTTTATGGACTGATATGTGTTTTGTGTATTTAATTTTTTTTTTTTGTGTTCTTTAGCCTGAAATGAATAGCATTGTTTTCCTGAGTGGACATGATCAACCTGGAGGCAAGTTGGTTGGTAAAGGAGGTTCAAGTGCACAATTTGTGACTTCTAAGAAACAAGTAATTTGCATTATTTTTGTGTAGTTGCATAAATTATTGGTATGTGGTGTATTTGCCATATATTACCTTCGTATTGTCATATATTGCCAGGCTGTGACAAAAGGAAGTAGTAGCCTCGAGAAATTATTTGGAAGTTCTAGAGCAACATCTTTGCTTGGAGGTGAGCTTGCTGGGAGGTTTGTGACTGGACAACAATCCAACATCTCTAAACTGAGAAATGTTGATGGTAACAAAGCAAAACTAACTGCAGGGAATCTGAAGACAACTAGTACTTCATATAGTTGCTGCTCTTTTGCAGCTTATAAGTCACCAAATGACAATGTTTCATCATCAAAGCCGCCTTCTGCAATTCCAAAACAACCAGTTGTCAAGGTGTCTTCTTCTCAGCCTACTGGTTCAATTAAAAAGCAAGCAGCTGCCATGGTGTCATCTTCCCAGCCTGTCAATTCATCTACAAAGCAACCTGTTGCCAACGTTTCCTTATCTCAACCTTAAGGCGCAAATGAAGTAAATTCAACACCTGTCGGATTGTCTCTTACAAAACCAGCAGTTTGAAGAGTTCCCATTCACAACCTGATATTCCTTCATCATTTGGAGAACATTTTCTATAGTAATTAGTAGTTATTAATGCAACCATGGCTTATGAATATTGATTAAAGTGATCTTAGTTTGTTATTTGGCATGAGACACTGGTTAAAGTTCCCTTTATTTGTTGGCTTGTGGCTTTGAGACACTAATTAAAGTACTGTCTTTTGTTGTTTTGTGGCTTTGAGACACTGATTAAAGTTCTCTGCTCTTGTGAATAAAATTACTAAGGTATGTATTTAGGTTCGAAACGCTTGCATAATGTGATTGTTTCGTGCCATCTTTTTTCCGTAACCAATTATTAAATTGGCTTGAACTGAATGCATTATTTCAGAGGGTCTATTTTGTAAAAGAGCTCAAAACTAGTTTCATGACATTGTTTTCAATTCTGACATGCATCATATACAATTGCCTTTCATTTCATTTTTATTATATTTACCTAAAAAAACAAACGAAGATAAGTTTTCCTCCAAGAATACTACAAGTGAGATTCCGTAAAAATGAAGACACAATTTTCACTTTCAATTCTAGACACTGAGCAAAAGCCTTCTAGACAATAAATAAAAGCATCCTTAAAATGTGTTCTTTAAAATACATATACTTACCTGAGTTACACCACAAAATGCATCACTACGTTGAATTTTCATCACTACAATCACCAATACAAGTACCATAATACAAATATGCAATGTTCAGGATCAAGAGTCTATTCCACAATTCATTGCATTTGCAATTACATCCAGCTCTATTAGGTAAACCTGACTCAATTAAATCTCCAATCACTTGTCTTCGTCTCTTTTTCTTTAAAACATGGATGAGAGACTATTATAGGAAAAAGGCCACTTTAATGATTCATGAAAATAAGTATAATGTACAAAATCACTCTCAACTTTAGTAAACCATGCTTAAATGTAGATAAAATCACTCTCTTGGTTAGAAATCCTTTAGTGAGAATTAATCTTATATCTACTCTCATGAAACTCAACACCCTAAACACTAGATTGTACCCTATATTTTAGTTTAATTATTTTTTGAATTGGATAATACAATCTATAGTCTGTTTAGTTAATTTGTAATAAATTAAAATGTACTAATATATTAATCTTTTTTTGGTCAAAAATAATATATTAATTTTTAATCTATTCTAAATGTTTTAATTTTTTTGTAAAAGATTAGTTTTTAGTCAAAAAATCTTATTCTTTAAATTGAAAAAAATGGATTAAAAAAATAACATCATTATTGTCAAGTTATATTATCAAAAAAGTTAATATGTTTATGTACATCAACCATGAGTTAGAAATATGCATATCTATAAATTTGCACAGTAGTGTTTAAAAATAAATAGTTTTTTTAAAAAGATCATATAATATATTTTTATAGTTATGAGAAATAGTAAAAAGAAATAAAAAACATAAAAATTAAATAAAAAGTGAAAAAAGACTGTTTGGTTATTTTCACAAATTTTTAGGTCATTTTTATAATTTTTAAAACTATTAGGGTGTTTTTTGTAATTAAAACTAGTAGAATTCCATTAATTTAAATGGAAATTGGCAAATTGGACAAAATCGGCTAACGGTTGGATAGTTTAGGATAATATTAACTAACCGAAAAAGAATATGGTAAAATTGACAACGCATGTACCTTTGTGTTGATAGGCCAATTTTTTCCTTCACAATCCGTATGAAAAGTAATTTTCCTAGTATCTTAAAAGAAGATGTCACTACAATAATGAAATCGACAGACATGTTTTTTTAATTATAATTTTATGTTATATTCTCTGTGATACTAGTTAAATGACTGATACATATATTTCTAATGACACATGATCTTTTGAGATACCTTAATTTGTGTTACGTATAACACAAAAGATACAGATCTTTTGTCTTCTGAAGAACATAAATAAAGAAATTTTATGATAAAATTATTGAGATCAAATGTTTCACCTATAACTGAGACAAACTTTTTTTTTTCTTTTGTCTTTTTATTCTATGTGAATGGTATGTTGATATGAATGTATCTAGATCGATTCTATAATGGTAATAAATATTCTTTATTTGAGATAAAAAGGAACTTTCATTAAATTTGTTGGAAAACGTCTAACCACGATTGACAAAGGATTACAATCATTAACATATTACAATCGATTAGAATTCTATATCTAAGAATAAACCGATCATTTTCACTGGGAAGGACTAAATCACAAACTCTTCCGTAGCATCTGCAAATATTTGTTGGAATAAAAAAGAAAGTCTCCGATCTCTATAGCTTTACTTATCGTCAGATGAAGGCCCCAAAAAGTATATCTAAAATATAGATCTATTTTGACTGCAAATCCTCGAACATAAACCGTGACTATGACCTATAAAAGTAAAATCATGGGACCATGGACTAAAGATCACACACGAACACAAAAGAACTAAATTATGATCAATAGAATGAGACATATTGACAAACGGCTAACACCCAGTAGATCTTGATCTACTGATAGATAATAAAAAACCCAACGAATCTTTCGTCTAAATTTATTCAGTTAAATAAAAAACTAAAAGGAGAGATAAATTATCTCCCCAATCCTCCCGTGGAAGGGAAGATAGGAAAGAAAATTAGGCAGTAGAAAAGAGAGAGGAAGGAAAGAGAGATCGGTTGTTACCCAATTCGCCAATTAATGAACAGAATGAGGTAGAGGCGACGGTAAAGTAATCAAGAAATTACCAATGAAATAAATCTCCTAGTTTTGGGAGTCAATTGATATAAATTTCATAGATCTGTTGAATTAGTAATAAATATATTAATTTTAGATTATTTTATTTTTTGAATGAACTGAATTTTATATTTCAATTTAGATTCTAATTCACTAAAAAATGAAATAACAAGTGGCAAGAGGAGACTCAAGTAACACAATCCTAGTGGCTAGAAGAGATTTAGATGGTTCGTCTTCATCTTTGTCAATTATAGAAGACATCAAACACCTCTTACAATGTTTCTCGAATCTTAATACATTCTGGGTTCATTCGTGGAGAATGCAGTTGCTCATGAAATCACCCATCATGCAAATCTTGTATGGTGAGAGACACGTTTTGGTTGTCACCTCCAAAATAATTATCACTCACTGCTGACTGATTCCAACATTATTTACTTATTACTTTTTCCTCTTTAAAAAAAAACTGGTAAAGAACTAATCAATCAACCGACGGTTGATCAAGTAACAACCAGATAGTTTTGATTATTACGTCACCAAGAAGTTTTTTGACATCGGGTTAATTGAAAGTGCAGAATCATTGTACTAAATTTATTGTATAACCAAAATACATATCAAATTATTTTGTATGATTATGACTTTGTTATGATTATTCAAGAACCTCCTTACATTTTGATTCTATGCCTTTTGATTTTATACCTTTAAGCATGAATTCCTATATATATCGAGATTAGAAGTAATTCAAATACTCCCATCAATCTAATTCAATAGACTCATTTGGATGTGCATGGAGATTAGAAAAATTGGGTGATGTATTTTACGTGATTAAATTTTAAGTAAAATTCTTAACAGGTCCTTATTAATGATTAGTGGGTTATTAATTAATGAGTTAGACTAATAATTAAAATTAATTAAATTTTCTTGATTCTAGTGAAAGTAGTAATGGTATATTAGAGAATATGTGGATAAAATTAATTAATTATTTGAAGTGGAACTAAATTTTGAAGCCTCAAAAAAAATGAAAGTGAGCATGTTGAATTACAATAGAGTGAGTAGATTGTACATTTAAAAGCGAATCAAAGAAGGATATAATCTTTCTTGTCCACAAAAAATAGTCCCATTCAACAACCAAAAAAAGTCCTCCCAATTTCATAAAAATCCAAATTAATTGTATTAAAATGATTAAAATATGAATAAAGTGTTAGTTCAATAATAAAACCACCATTACTCTCAAGACGAGGTCTTGAGTTTAATCCCTCGCGCCAAAAAGATTTTACTAGGAATTGGCTCTACTTTGTTCATATACACATCTAAAGAGCTTGTTATAGTGAACTCATACATGAACCTCCGATTTTCCACCCGAACTTGTCACTTCGGACTTGTCTAGGTGGTTTATCTCCAAATGAGTTTGCATGCTATTGCATTGGACATGGGTTTACCCATCTCTGGTAGGATTCCCGGCGTTACTAAAAAAATGATTGAAATATCATTATAACGAAAATAGATGAAAGTTATTGATTTGAATAAGAAACAAACTAAATATGGCCATAATGGAAAATCTGCGCATATTATTAAAGGTTGTACCTTGATTGACTAGATCAAAATTAACAAATTATACCTTCACAATGGTAAAAGATCTTCTATAACACTTTGTGATACGGATTTCTTACCAGAATTTGCGGAAGCTTGGAATGTATCAAGGACTTGACGATCTTGCCTTCTGAATTTCTGAATCACGAATAAAAACAAAGACATTTATGTGATCCAGGGATGGAATACATGAAAAAGAATTAGATAGAAAGGAAGAAAGGTTCGGGGTTAACAACCCTATCGACCACCTCTCAACTAATTCTTTGGCTCACGATTATGACTAAAACGAGCAGGCAAAGGCTCCATTAAAATGGTTAACTACTAGCTCCACCTATGGAAAAACCTATAAGTTCAAAGGCACACTAAAACAAATGTTAAAACTTCGAAAAGTTGTACAATGCACCTATTCTCGCAAGAATAAGACAAATAAGGAGGGATCTCACAAGTTTATGAATAAAATTCTTTATTATTGAAGTCATGCAATAATCTGCCTCAAAAGCCACGACGAAAACCTCTATTTGTAGGCCAAGGGTCAGCCTAGGTTCGCCATGAGGAAGAGAAATACAATCACATCTCTTATACGGATTTCTAGAACTAGAAGTTTCCTAAAAATTAAACTTCC